GTCCCACTTCACTCCCAACACCCAACGTAATGTTCGATTCTGGATGCGTTGGAATTTTAGTGCGTTTGTCTTGGCGGTTAACGTCAGAGCAAGTGGAGAGTAAGAGAGTAGAGATCGAATGAGTGCTTTGTATAGATGTAGTTTTGTCTTGGGACTGGCTCCTCTCAGCTTATATAACCTTGAGAGCGAAATTCCCGCCTGTGCAGTTTTAGCAGTAATGTGAGATTTAGGGTTCAGTGTGTTGTCGAGGGTAACACCAAGGACAACTGTTGAGAAGGAGCGTGGGATGGGGGTACGGGAGGTGCTTGTTTTGAGTTCGACAGGAGTCGGGACATCGCGCCTTCTATGGAAGTAAGTGATCTTTGACTTATTTGGGTTGGTTTTAATACGCCATAATAATTCCCAGGCGGTAATCCTGTCGACCTCTCTTTGTGTTCTGCGTGCAAGGAAACGAATGTTTTCATGTGCTGTGAGTTGAGTGATGTCGTCTGCGTAAGAAAGGGTGTGTTTGGGTAAAGAGGTTCAGGTAAATCATTCGTGTAGAGTATATATAGGGTGGGAGATAGGACAGAGCCTTGGGGTACACCGCTTTTAAAGTGAAATAGTCAGAGTGATGATCTCTGAACCGTATACGCATCGTTCGGCCATCTAAAAAGTGACATAATAATTTTATCATATTTACAGTTAATTCAAAGGACGTGCAAAGTTTATATTTTAATCCATCATGCCAAACAGTGTCAAAAGCTTTCTCTACATCTTTGGCGACAAGGGTGGAGGTACAGTTCTGGGCCTTATTGATACGTACATAATTCAGGATTATATTCAAAACGTCTTGGGTAGAACGTTGTTGTCGGAAACCGAATTGTCTTTCAGTAAGCAAGTTATTTGTCTCTAGGTGAGTCCTGAGTCGCATATTTACAAGTCGTTCAAAGGTCTTACCCAAAATTTCAAGGAGGCTAATAGGTCTATAGTTCTTGGGGTCAGTCAAGCCTTTTCCAGGTTTTGGTATGAGGCATGCAGTAGCAGATTTAAAGAATGGAGAGAAATAGCCAGATGCAAGCGAAACATTAAAGAGGTCAGTGATAGCGGAAGCAACAGAAAGTGGAAGGTGACGAAGGACAGAATGTGATAGACCTGAAGCACCTGGGGCTTTTTTTTGAAGGTGTGCTAGTAGAGAATGAACATCAGCTACAGAAAAAAGGAGAGTTTAGAGGATGCGTGGAGGATAGTGTGTTTAGGTTTATGATTGGATCAGGATTGGTTAAGTCTTCATGATTGGATACCCATCGCTCTATGTCTAATGTATGTGCTATGACAGCTTGGTCTGGTGGATGTGGGTGGAAGATGTTCCCATATGTCTTTGAAAATATGTACAGCTTCAGCAGGGTCAGAGATCTGTCTGGTGTTGTGATTAATGTGTCTGAAACTTGTGGATGGAGGGGTGCCTGTAAGTCTCCGAATGGATGACCAGAATGCTTTGGGATCTCTTGTACTCTGGACATCTGTTGTGTTTATGATTGATTGCCAATGTCGGGCATGGTCATCATCTAGGCTATGGATGATATGTGTACGTAAGATAGTTAGGTCCCATCGGATGATATTTAGTCTGTTTTGGTTTGCTAGGAAACGGTGTCTAACAGGTGAGCAGTTTTTTTGTTCTTTCTGAAGGGCGGAAAGAGTAACGTACTTTGTGGTGTGTCATGGGAACAGCCTCTGCAGCGGCTTGGGTAATTGATTGTTGAATGCGTTGAATTTTTGTGTCTGTCTTAATACTGGCCTATTGTCATAGTTGTGTGTAAGATCAAGAGTGTTTAGGCGTTGTTTGAACAGATTCCAATCCGCCTGAGAATAAGCTGGAGAGGGGCGAACTGGAATGAGTATTGGATTTGAGGAAATATGGAAAATGATAGGAATGTGGTCAGATCCAGAGAGCGGTCCTGGTCTTGTGTAGTGATGTAAGTGATTACTAGCTCTGTTTGTAAAAATTTTATCAGGGGTGCCTTGGCCATTGTATGTAAAGACTGTTGGGAAGTAAGGTCCAAGGTGTATGAGATGTTTCTGTGTTACAAGTGTATGAAGTTGCCTACCATGCAAATTTGTGGAGTTGTCATGGAAGTCAGTGTGTTTGGCATTGAGGTCGGCAAGTAGGTATACAGGGAGATGTGTATGATTAAAAAGAATGGTTAAATCATGAATATTAATGTTTTTGTTGGGTCTGGTATATGTCGTGTAGAGGATGATGGGTCCGTGTATCGTGTAAATTTTCGCAGCCATGCTGTGAGAATATGTAAATGGAAGGGATAAGAACTCATGTTTAATGGTGCCTTTAACAAGAATAGCTACGCCATTCCAGTTTTCGGCAGGGGATTGACGGGCTGTATCATCACGCACACACGAGCTGTTTAATAACAACACGTCTGGTTGTTCAGATTCAACGAGGTCAGCAAGAATATGTTTGTTCGCGTTATAAGCTCGTATGTTAAACTGAATAACCTTAAGGGCCATGGTTGGGTTTACCTGAAGTTGGGGGATATAATTCTTTCATATATTTATCTGGATAACCCATCATAGTTGTACCGTCATCTGATCTGTTCTTAACTGGGTGTATGGTATTCCGACGGTTTTTGGAGTCAGCACGGGGAGGGGAGGATTAGGGGGGGCGGGAGGAGGAGTTGGAACGTGATGATGAGATAGGACGAGAGGATGAGGTGAGGCTAGAGGAAGTGTTAGAGAGAGAGGAAGAGGTTGGGGTTTGGTTTTGGTTTAACATATTGTTAACTTTTTCCAAGTGCTTGTTGAAGTTAGGAGAATTTGTATAATTTGGTTGTAGGCAAGGTGAACGGGACTTGTGTGAAGGAGTAGGAGAACGAGAAGGGCGTGTTGTGGCAGAACAATGTTGAGATCGCCCGGTGCTACAGCCTGAGCTAGTAGAAGGAGTCTGAAGAGTGGATTGAGGCAGGTGGGTAGGAGGAGAAAGATCTGCCAGAGTAGTAACATGAGGGGTTTCAGGAGAAGAGAGAGAGGTGATAGGGCAGAGTTCATCCTTGGGAAGAAAGAAATCAGGAGGGAAAATGATGGGGTCAAAATTGTTGGCTTTTAGAAGATCATTCAGCATCGTGGGATAGTTGGCACTTTTGAATGCTTTGTGACAGTAGACAGCAGTGAGCACAAAGGCCTCAAGGATATTTGATTGTTTGGAGGAAGAAGAAGCCGAGGGAAGGTTTGTTTGGGCAGCAGCAGCATAGGAAGGATAAGCTGTAGAAGTGGAAGCAGAAGGAATAGAAGTATTTGGTTGGTAAGTGGATGAGGATGTTGTCTGTGTTTGTGAGAATGGAGTCAAGACTGGGTTTGGAAGGTTTAGAGGTTGGTCTTTTCGTAAGGAAGAAACATGTTCCTTACGAGTAGGGCATTGGAAAGAAGTAGCTGAATGTGACTGAGAGCAGTGCAAGCATTTGGGAGGGTTGATACATTTTTGCCATGTGTGGCCTGGAGAAGAACACTTAGAACACAGCTGTTGCTTGTTACAAGTATTCTTTAAATGACCAAACACAAGGCATTTGTAGCACTGATGAATAGGAACATAGTTAGGGAGAAACAATGAAGTAGGTGGAAGAAGAAAGTAGTTTGCTCGAACACCATGTTTGAACAACTTATCAGCCTCATCTGGAGTAGAACATCTGATCTTAAGAATGTTGTATCAGGATGAAAAAGTCCCTCAACTGTGACATGATTTTGTGAGGAAATGTCTGTCATCAAGGTGTCTTTGTCTTGGCTGTATTCGTTAATCAAGGATGAGTCTACAAATTTTGCCACGACTGTGCTCCTGGCCTTATGATCAGGAGCCCAATCGATAGCAAAACCTGCCTGAAAGAACTTGTCTCGGACTTCCTTACTGGTACAGAGGTCATAATTCACAGGATCAAGATTTACTTTACAACCAGTATGTGTCTTGAAGATATTTATCATACGTGCCTGGGTAATGTTGAAAAAGGTGGAAGCATAATCAATCTTATCCTTGTCATCTTTAGAGTACTTTAGCATAAGGCCCATTGTCGGAAAGCTGGGTCTCTGTGCAGTTGTCATGATGACAACAGCACAGGTAGGGATGCTGCATAAATCGTATGTGGCGTCTAAGGGGCGTCAAGTGCATAATTCTGACAGGACATGTTTGTGTTGTGGAGTGTACCTGCCAAGATGAGGCTTCCCGTGCGTAAATCACAAGGAATGCAGCCACGGGCACCGACCAGACGAATACTCCCACCGACGCAGGAGCAGGTCCAGCCGATCCAGAAAAAAGAAGAAAATTTAGAGAGGAGAGAATGGTGCTGGTGTCTCCAGAGCGATGTAGTCAAGCCGATCCACTGTGTGGGGATCTTTAACCACCTCAATGAAGAGGGCTTGACTGGCCTCTGGGGAGATTACGGCACAACAGAGAGCTAAACCCGTGTCACACAAAAAAAAAAAGATATTGGTTAAAAAAAAGCTGTCTTATTCTCCGAGATGCTGTCACAACCGAACATGGGTGTGAGGATATCGGTGTGCCAGGATTACACATACACAAAGTGCAGAGGTGTGGAAGTGTTGCTTGTGAACAATGTATCAGCAGACGACACCCAACAGGATGAGGTGGGAAGACTTCGTCCAGCTGCAGAAGTGCAGAGGCCAACGGTCTGCTCTGGGGCAGACAGCCAGCGACGCACAGAATCCTGGAGCCAAGATGAAGAATGTCCAGAAATCAACCAATCAGGCAAGGTCTTCTTGAAACAAGAAAATCAATGCAGTTTTCTTCAACAAACACAGCAAAAGCTTATCCCAGCAAGGGGATCGCAAGGCAACCAATCAGGAGCAAGCAAAGCATGCAGCCAATCGGGAGGAGGTGCGTCTGTTCAGTGCGGAAGCTAGCAGAGGAATGAGTTCCAATGATTACCATTATTTAATATATAATTTATTGTTTTATATATATACATAATTTTATCAGATGTTTATATAAAGGTAAAGCAAATTTATATAAATGTGCATATTTAAGTAGATTATTATTATTATTATTATTATTATTATTATTATTATCAAAACTAAGCGTTAAACCACCAGGGTCATACAACTTATGTTTAAGTAGACACACGCACACATTTATTGTTCATTAAATTAAATTTACTAAGACTGACATAGCAACATAGTATCAACATAGTATCCGGAAAGCAAATTGTGATGTGATGTTATTGCACACGGATCCACTGAAACATTTCATATTCACAAGCACCAATAATTAGTTTTATAAAGTATCACGTTTACTGGCAACTACATGCCGTGTCCTCAACGAGAAGTCGTTGGTGATACCTAATTTTGTTGTTTTCAATAGTATACAAGACTATGGTAGTGTTACGTTGACTTCCAGGTATAGGCAGACATTTTCGTGGCGACTGACAATAACTGCAGGAGGATTGACAGAGGCTCACAACCACCTGCTGTGGCTCAAAGTTCTTGTCTAGCAGAGCGTCCTCTCGAGCAAGTAACTCAGGCACATTCACGGCAAGTTTCGTCGGTTTGCATCCCATGGTCTTTAGTTCATTCTGCTGTTTTAGGATTTGTTTCATAAAGTCTGTCCCGGGTTCAGTGACACCATTAACTGTAGAAGGCAGATCCTGACGGTGTCCTGATGTGTTTCCTGGAACAGTCGCTCCGTAATTTTCTGTTGTATAATTCACTTCCTGCTGCACGTTGTTTACAGGTGTCTGCATGGTTACCGAGGCTGGAGTCGCACAGTCACAGTTGGCGCCTTTGCTCAACATTAGAACAATACCGTTGACCACAGACAATACAATACAAATTAGAAATATAATGAAGCATTTGCGATAGCTCTTAAAGAAAGACAAGAGCACATTGTGAATCATTTTGGCTACTGTAGGCCGAGACATTGTTGATGTACAGTCGACGTCGATCACAGATGCTGGAGCAATAATGAAGCAGCCGCTAAACGTAGGAGAAGGCGAGCGGATATCACCTCCCTGGTGGGTAGACAAGAACTGAAGCAACCCGCTCGCTGAGGTCACCTTATATACGTTCCATCTCGTAGGGGTTGCGCTAGCCTTTACCTTGCTTACGTGTGAGTACGTGTACTGAGGCGATGTCAACCCCACAGACACACACACACACACACACACACCACCACACACACACACACACACACTCAATACCTGCTTCTCAGTTTTCACCCAGGAAAATACTAGCGATATTCCTGAAATTATAGATTATGTAGAACAGGACGATAATAAACTATGCACGATGGCGGTAACTGGTAAGAAGACTGAACCTCAGTTTTTTTTTACCTCCTCATTAGTCCATAAGTCATGAAGGATGGACAGTGGACCTCTGCCTGTTCTACCATAGAGAAGTTAAAAAGGTGAAAACCCCAATGGGGTCACTGGGAACTTCCCTCATGGCAAACAAAGCACAGGGTAGGAAACGATGCCACTCCTTAGGTTTAAGGGAGCAAAGTTTCCTTAAAATGGACTTGAGAATCGAATGCCGGCGCCAATCCTCCCATTACAGATGGGATGTTAGGGTGTGGTGAAGAGAGGTTTCACTCCCAGAAGTTGGTTATAGATGTGCATTAAGTCAGATTTTGAATTGTGTCCCCGGTCAGACAAAATTTCTCTAGGGATGCCCACTCTGGAGAAGATGGACAAAAGGGCTTCAGCCACCTCTGTAGTAGTTATGGTCTTTAAGGGAACGGCTTCAGGGAAACTCGAAGCATAATCAACTAATGTTAATATATATCTATGTCCCCCAGATGAAAGTGGAGATAAAGGGCCAACGATGTCAATAGCTACTCTTTCGAAAGGTACCGTAAAGACGCATTTTGACCATAGATACTCGCCTGGTACCTCGGGAGGATGACAGTTGACAAACTTTACACGATCTACAATAGGTAGTGACATCTGAGGACATTTTTGGCCAAAAATAGGGGTCCCTAATTTTATTTAAGGTTTTACGATGCGAGAAATGTCCAGCCACTGGCAGGTCATGAGCCATTTTAAGAACAGTCTCTCTGCATTGACTTGGAACAACTAAGATGGAATAGTCTGTCTCATCTGGATTTAATTTGAATACTGACTTGTACAAGATACCTTTTATATATTCAATTTTATATGAAAAGTTTTTCCTTTGGATAACTTGATTTTGTTTAGCGGCATTATGGCAATTCTGAAGAGAAGGGCAATTACGTTGTAAATTGACAAAGGAGTCCTTCGATATGTCTACAGGCTTAAAGTCAGGGAAAATCAAAGGATGGACAGTAGGGGAAGCATGGGCTTTGGTCTGAGCCCTAGTCAAGACATTTATGGTATCGGAGGTGATATCTTCACTTTCATCTAACAAGTGAACCAGTGATCTTACTACCTCGCTTTCGAGAGTAGCATCACTGGTTTTTAATCCCACATGAATCTCACGAGACATTGTCTCATCTGAACTTTCGAGGGGCTTCTCCGACTCTACAGAAAGAGGATCTGAAACACCTATGTCCATCTTTGGTGATGAAAGGTCAACCTCAGAAGGAAGAATGGCACCTTTTACATTACCTATTAGTACGGAGCAAGAAGTGATGGGAGCTAGTACGGCTTCAGACCAAACTGTGAACCATTTAGACCTAATGTAACAACGGATGGTAGGAAAAGTGTCCGTACGGCCAAGTAGTCTGAAGTATAGCAGAGGAATGAGTTTCTTTAAGGTTAGGGAACAGCTTATCAGAAATGACTATACATGTGCATCCAGTGTCTCGTAAAATGGTAGATACATTAAGTCCATTAACTGTTCCTGAACAGAAGGGTGCTTGGTTAATTACAGTCTTTAAAACATCTTCCAACTTTTTGGACCTTCTTAGAAGGACAATCTGGACGTTTATGTCCCTTAACACCACACAAATGACAAACAGGAATAAAAGAAGTCGTTTTACTTTCAACTAGAGGCTTTGATTTCTTAAGGTCTGATGAACCCTTGCCCTTAGGGTTCGATCCCTTTAGGTCTTTATAGGAATTGTGAGCCTCAGCATACAGGTCAGCAGCCTCAGCAACTTCCTCAGCTTTAATCAGGTTACGTTCTCTGATGAATGTTCGTATCTGATGGGGAAGAGCTGTCAGGAACTGGTCAGCAACCATGAAGTCTCTAAGAGATTCATAACTGCGATCAATTCCTGAACTCTCTATCCAAAAGTCGAACAAACGAAAGAGTGTTACCTGTAACTGCTGAAAGTTCTGGCCAAGCTGTAAGGTGGCATACCTGAAATCTTTCCTGTAAGAATTAGTGGTTTTTTGATATGCTTTAAGGATTGCCTTCTTCAGTAGGTTATAATTACATAGATATCCTGCGACAAAGTTGCATAGATATTCAAAGCTTACCAGAAAATAATATTCCTAACCTGGTAGCCCATGTGTCAGCAGGCCATTCACAGAGGGTAGCGGTATTTTCAAACCTGATAATGTAAGAAGTTATGTCTTCCCCCTCTGTGAGGAGGTAAATTAGGTGTTGGAATATGTGTACTAGCTGCACGTTGTTCCATTACTCCTCATCTAATTGCTGTTGTGGAAAGTTTATCTTTTTATTCTCTAATTCAAGAGAGAAGATTTTTCGAGCTCGCGATCTTTTCTCTCTCTCTATTAATCTATGCTCTCTAGCTCTTTCCTCACGTTCTCTAGCTCTTTCCTCACGATCAAGTCTATCACGCTCTTTTTTGTCTTCGCCCTCTCTTTCTAACTGTCTTTCTTGGCTTTCTCTTTCAATTTTTTCTCTTCTCTCTCTTTTCTCCTGTCTTTCAAGGTTCTCTTTCTCCTTTTTCTCTTTCTCTTTCGATTCTCTCTCTCTCCTTATTCTCTTCTCTTTCCCTTTCTAGCTGTCTTTCTTCTCTCTCAATTCTCTCTCTTTCAAGTCTTTCCTGGATCTTAGCACTAATGAAAGATTCTAAATTTTTCCCTGTTATTCCTAACTTACTTCCAGCATTCATCCAAAACTGGTATTCCTCCATATTTGCAAGAATAACTTAAACTATCAGGGGAAATGAAACGGGTATCAAAGAAAATGGAGGGTTAAAATTCCTGCTCTGCTCAAACTGTAAATAAATCAGAGGGCTCGATCCCTACTTCAATTAAACAATATGTATTAATGAAAACGAAGGGTTCTATGCCGGCTCACCAACAAATCAAGACAGTTCCCTTGATATAATAAAGAGCTCAATGAAACAAATTGTCACTGGAAAATCTTGGGTCCCTAGAGTCTAATCCTCCAAAATGTTTCAAGCTCACAAGAAAGGTGGCAGAATTAAATATTATCCTGCCTGACTTGACTTACAATAAATTGAGACTATAACAATCACCAAATCCTTTAAATACCTGTACTGCAGTCCTACCATAGAGAATGATTACTCATGGCTGGTGGTAACCTTCTGTGGTATGCAGCGTTGAAGTTCCAATGGTAGATTCGAGATGGAATTGAATCTTTATTCTGTCGAGTTGTATCCTGGCAAGGTCGCCACTTGTGAAGGCTTACTCAGCTCTGTAATAACTTCAGACAGTATTACCAAAGCTGGCTCCTCCTCAGGAAAATTAATGAATAGAAAACGAAATAATAATTCACAAAGATAAACACTTTATTATTTATTAAAGCAAACATAAAACAATAAAACATGACAGGTATATCCTATTTGAAAGAAAAATGAAAAATGAAATGAATAAAATAACATTTGAACTCAACGTTAATATATATATTGGGGTGTCTGGTGTTGGTGACACTTCGTGTTGTTGAAATCTTAGCCGTTGCTGATGTGGAGAGGGGGGGGTCACAGGTGTTGGTGACCACCACCGGCTAGTTCTTCACAGAGTATCGCCGTGAGTATTCTATCCCGATGACAGGAAAGCAGGTTCTTTACAGCTGCAATGATGTGGGGTTAAGTCCTGCAATTTCATACAGGTGCACAGGTAATTAAATCCAAAATGGGACGTCTCCAGGACGTTAGTCCGTCTCCATCAGTTTTCTCATTGATTGACAGGTGACCCTCTCTGTCATCCAAGCTGAAAAGATAGACAGGTTACTCACTGCTTAAGAAATCACTCTTCATGATAAGTACAATACCTAAAAGAAATGGTGATTATTACAACAGTCAACTTAGAGCAAGGCTGAAAAGACTAAGTTTATTATTGGTCAAAAGTGAAGCTTTCAACCAATAAATCCACTAGAATACTAAGGCAGCATGTACTTACAGTAGTGTTGGGAAACTGTGAGTCGAGTGATTTACCGTTTGACCAGAGCCCCATCACGTCACCTTTCGGGGGGGGGGGAAGAGGGAGGGGAGGGATAGTGGGAGCTAGACTGACCCTATGTTAACAAGCAGCCAGCCGTCAAACTATCACTTTAGGGGTGGGGGAAAAAAGGCGGGAACAGCGGGAGCTAGACTTACCTTACCTTAACTAAGTAGCCGGCAAGCAAACTCTATCACTTCCTGGATGGGGAAAAAGGTGGGAATAGGGGAGACTTGACTTACCCTACCTTAACAAGTAGCCGGCAATGAAACTATTGTTAATATATACTCCCTCGCTACTCCTATCTATTGAACTTTTCCCTCACAAATACCTATTTACAAGGCAGGTGACAGGTCCTTGGCTTCGAACTAATAGACCAATAAGCCTTTACATCCCAATGGAAATAAGTCACTCTGCATGACTTTTTTGGGTTATCCTAGCTTCTCTACACATATGCTGCTTTGTATGAGAATCTATGTAACTGTATTTGTGTATACCTGAATAAACTTACCTCCATAGTGGGAAAATTTATGGAATCAATAATTACCGAAGCAATTCGTAGCCTTCTTGATAGGCACAGATTGATTAATGAATCTCAACACGGTTTTACAAAGGGGCATTCCTGTCTTACAAATTTACTAACTTTTTTCACTAAGGTGTTTGAGGAGGTAGATCATGGTAATGAATATGATATTGTGTATATGGACTTCAGTAAGGCTTTCGATAGAGCTCCACATAAGAGGCT